TGTTCTAAATAAGAGCACACTGTTATTCAGTCAATCAGTCAAACTCTCCACACAAACATCTATAGATGGAGTTTAAAGGCTCACATGTTAAAGTTGTCACTTTGTCTGCTCCTCACTTTCCCTCTCTGTCTCCTCAACAGGAACATTTGTAGTCAATGTGACACAGACCTCCTATCAGGCAGAGGAGAACCACAACATCACACTGGAGTGGATGTTCACCACCAAACCTGGCAGCTCCCTCCACTCCCTTTTTATCTACTGTGAACTGAAAGCTGATCTCAGACCATCAGGTCTGTTTCGTCTACATGGAGGTGTTGAGGTCCCAGAGTCTCAGGATGAACAGTTTACAGGACGAGTCCAGTGTGACAAAGACGTCCTCAGAGAGGGACGACTCAGACTTCATGTGTCCAGACTCAGGACTGATGACTCAGGACTGTACATGTGTGAAGTGTTGACACGTTATGGCGGCAGCACTGCTACATGTCGGCTCACTGTCACTGGTAAGTTGATTCAGTATGAATTCCTTAACATGTTCAGTCCAGCAGCTTGTTGGGTGTGAAGGACAGTACACAATCAACAATCTACGATCGTTACACTTTCCTCTTTTTTAGTGACATGTTTTTTCTTTATATGGATGAAACTGGTTTGTTTGATCTCTTCACAGCAGCGAGGGAGCGGCCCAAACCTGAGACACCAAACACAGCAAGTGGACAGCAACCAAAGAGTCGAGGAATGATCGGCCTCTACTTTGTACTGGGACTGACTCTAGCAGCTGCAGCTCTGCTGGGTCTACGTGTCTGTTTATTCAGACACTTTCTGTTTAGAGAAGAAGATTTCTACCCCAGTAGTGAATTTGAGAGTATTAACAGCTCAGCACATGGATCAGAGGAAACACTTAATAACACAAATATTGCATTTAAACAAAACTGTTAGGATCAAATCAAATTCCTCGTCTAATATAATAAGCTACTATACATTTTTATATATTTACCTTTTGCACTTTAATCTCTGAGATCAACTTCTTCTTATATATGTAAGGGATAATGTATAATGAGCCGGTGAATACTGGGAAAAATAACTCCCGACAGGGGAATAGAACCCCGACGCGCAGCGGAGGGGTTTCATTCCCCTGAAGGGAGTTATTTTACATTATCCCGCTTATTACACGGCTAATTATCAGTTAAATAAATAATGTTGTCTGCCTCTGCGAAGTGCATTAAAACCGACCGGATTCGACAACTTTTAGTGAAAGTTTTGTAATCACCCAGGCTTAGTGGACTGAACCGAGGCATAAAACTCGCGTAAAATGTCATTAAGCATGACTGCCGAGTGTGTATTCAAATCTGTCTTCTTTTGTTTTTGGCAGAGAAAGTCCGTAGGTATTCTTTTTCTTCAGCAGCACCCGTTAAAATCAGCCACTTCTGTTTGTTTTTCCCTCGGAAGTTGTTTGACAGCTGCAGTGTTGCAGGGCAGCATCCCTAGCAACGCTGGGCTACATAGCAACTGTGTGCTAGTAGCAACGGTCATTACACAGTAATATCAGACCGCAGAATGCCGCTACTGACCAATCAGAATACAGCATTTAATAGAGCCGTGTAATAAATATATATATTTATTAATCATGTTCTTGCAGAATGTAATGAAGCTCTCATGTTAACTAAAGACTCTTCTGATCTGCCTGTTCTGATGTGTTAGGACCACTGACATGATCAGTTCATGCAAAAAGTGGCAGAGTGGGCTCAGAAGTATGACATCATGTGATAGATATGTCCAAATTAAGCAAGAGTTTAAACTGGAGAGTTATCTGTTGCATGAAAACCAAAAGTACAGAAAGGCTATTTGTAATGTTTTGAGTGAACAACCCAGAATCCCTGAAGTCAGTGCACCTGCATCCACTGTGATGATAATCATGTGGGAGACGAGTATTATGTTTTGTTAGAGTGTCAGAATGTCAGCTTAATGACTTACAGAGAAAGGTATTTGCAATCAGAGAAGCCAAGTTATCAGTAATCTAGGTGCTTTTCTCAAGAATGTCCTTCCTTTGTTTAAGTAGCGTTGGTCGTACTTCACCCACGCTGTGTGCCATTGTTCTGTTTTATCAGGGACCTCGGTAGAAGGCAGAGGACCCTGTTGTTTCTGGTGCGTTTATTCTTTCTACGCCGCCTCTTTGAGGCAGAATTTGACCCCCTAAATATACTCAAATCCTCACCAAAATTGGCACGCATGTCAGGACTGGCAAAAAATTTGATGAAATGAAAAAATGAACCCCTAAAGTGCCAAAATGGGCTCTGTAGCGCCGCCTAGGCACACTGAAATGGCCACTGCGGCCGGTAGGAATGTCGTAGAAAGATCAAACCAGAACTGGCTTGTTTGTCTCATCAAGACCTACAAATCACGCGCTGACACCCCTGACCGAAATCCTGCTGTTAGTTTATCTGAGAGATTAAGAGTACCTGATATGGTCTGAAAAGGTATTCCCCTGATTGGATAGCTTTTTAAACTAGCCCGCCCACAGCCCACAGCCCACCTAGTGTAATTTATACTAGACCTGTGGAAACATTTGGCTGGGGTCTCTCAAAATGATTTCCACAAACGTCTGGCGTAGTCCACGAGCAAGCACACACATGGCAGCCTTAATATATAATGGACAGTAGGCTTACGTTAGGTGTCTTTCCCTCTGCCAATGAAATGGCATCTCCGAACGTTATCTAAAGTGAACTTAAACTAGCCAAAGTTTAATTCGGGGTCGCACTTTGCGAGACTCATGTTTTTGGCATCGACTCAACAGACATAAAGTTTGAACCACTAGACTTTTAACCAGATGATCTTCCCTCCCTCCACCTCATTCTCATCTCCCCTTGCTGCTTCCTGTCCCTGCCTCGTCTGTTCTGCTTTACTTGTCAACATGTGTGGGCTACTGTCCGCTGATAAATTTGCACCACGGGCTGCAGCAGCTTACCTTACCTAGGCTTCATGTGCGTTCCATTCACTGAATATGCACAGACGCACCCAATACCTGCAAGTGCAACCTCTCCACTCTTTGATATGTGGCACCGGCCCTACTGCGTGGTTGAAGTAGGAAGAAGTTGTGTCCATGCTATTCTTCCTTGACACATCAGTCATAGTGTAGCCCTACGGACATTCAGTAATGAAAAAAACAGGCTTATTAATGAAATTTGACTGGGAATATTTACAGGGGCACAGCACATTTTTACCAAGGCACGTGCCCTGGTGAAAAGTGTCTGGCAACGCGCCTGGTCCAAGGCAAGCCTGAGCCGGCCCTAATTATAGGCTTTATCAAAGAGGAAAGTGGTAAGTCTTAAGTCTAGTCTTAAATGTGGAGACGGTGTCTGCCTCAAGGACCGAAACAGGAAGATGATTCCACAGGAGAGGAGCCTGATAGCTGAAGGCTCTGGCTCCTGATCTACTTTTGGAGACTTTAGGGACCACGAGTAGGGGAGACTGGGGATGGTTGTAACAAAGGGATAGTTGTAACACTCTCAGTTTGGCCAATTAGAAACGAGCTGTGGTGACATCATCAAGATAGTCCATGCCCATTTACAATTGGAGCTCACTGGTGAAGCCGCATGTCTCTGAGTCCAAAATTGTCTGTTCTAGAGCCAGAAAACAGTTTTTCAGGTGAGAAACCAAACATTTTCATCACAGTTGTTTTTTGCATAGTGTCCATTGTGTTGTATGTACAATTGTTTCACTTACATAGGTTCAAGTAGTAGTTTCTCTAGTTTAATTTGATGTGTTTCATTAGTGTTAGCTTTGAAGCTAAATGCTAAAAACGGTTAGCTCTTTCATGGCTGCTGGGCATGGGGAGGGTTGTAACTTTTCTAAAGTGTTTATTGTTCAACTGCTGTTCAAAATGCTGTTCAAACTTCAACCTCATTCAGGCGACAACGCACGTGCGCGCACACACACACACACACACACACACACACGCACACACACACAGGTTAATACTTTATTATTCTTGATTTTATTTATTTTATGTTATATATTTTTATTTATTTTATTGTACTTATTTTTGTATTTATGTTATACATTTCTATTTGTTTTAATATTATAATTATTGTATTCTTACAAGTTTATTGTTCCTTCTTTATTACTCATTAAAGTGCTTGAATACATTTAGCCTACTGTGAATCTTTTTTAAGCACAATAATTTCATTGTTACATCCATCCCCAGCTAGTGTTACAACTCACCCCGGTACTGGGGTAAGTTGTAACAATATACCTCTTTGTATTTGACATTAATTTCCATAATCTGTGATGGTGTAGTAGAGGTCAGAGTGTGTGTTATTTATAGCAGACAAATATGGGTACCATGTATCAAAATTTAAGAGCTCTAACAAAAAAACCCACTGAGTTACACTTGCTCAAACAAAAAGTGTTACAGTCATCCCCGGTCTCCCCTAACCCTGCGTTCTCAGAGCGCAGTGTTCTGGTGGGATAATATGGCACTATGAGCTCTCTAAGATATGACGGAGCCTGACCATTTAGAGCTTTATAAGTTAACAGTAGGATTTTAAATTCAATTCTGGATTTTACAGGGAGCCAGTGCAGAGAAGCTAAAACAGGAGAAATATGATCTCGTTTCTTAGTTCCTCTTAGTACACGTGCTGCTGCATTCTGAATTAGCTGGAGAGTTTTTAAGGACTTACTAGAGCTACCTGATAATAGAGAGTTACAGTAATCCAGCCTTGAGGTAACAAAAGCGTGGATCAGTTTTTGCTGCATGCAGCAGTGGAAGAAGTGCTTGCATCTTTTTACTCAAGTGAATGTAACAATGCCAGTACTCTGTTACAAGTCAAGTACTGCATTCAGATTTTCTACAACTGGCTACTACTAGCTCACTGCTGTTAAAATCATTGATGCATTTATGTGTTTGTTGCTGTCCTCAGGCCCAGGGGAACCTGGGCCGGTAGCAAACACAATGCTTGTGTGTCTGCATGTATAAACAAAGAGGCAGAAAACTTGTGTGCTGCTCAGCTGCAGGATTTATTCTGCTTCCTTTACATACTGAACAAAATACATAATATGAATCAAGTGTCCTTCAAGTATCACAGAGGCTTCACAACCTTTGTCTCCCTTATACTGGGGTACATGTATGTGACACTGAGGAATATTAATGTTCAACTGGGCTGCAGATTGTTTTGCTTGTAGCGTGCTTTAGGTTCCTCCCAACTAAATACACCATCTAGTGACCTGTTCAGGTATTACACCAACACAGCAACAAGTAAAGTACAATGAAAGTGCATTAACTTATTATTTTAGTCATGAACTGAACCACAGCCTCATATGAACTGTACTTTAGTCCCAATGACTTGTTAAACACATTTAATGAATGTCATTTTAAAAAAATAAAGTAAATATATTTTAACCCCTTACACTTACAGTACAATGTAGCTTAAAATAGAAATACTCAAGTACTCACCAACAGTTTCTCACTGTGATGTTTGTAAATACCTATATAATATATATCTATACT